CGGGGCGGGGCGCGGCCGGGGGCGGTGCTTTGTGTTCGGCAGGCGGCGGGCGCGGGGCGCGGGGCTCGGGCGCGGGCCGAGGCCGCGGGTGGGTGGGCGGCGGGGCAGCGGCATGGAGGAGCTGAGCAGCGTGGGCGAGCAGGTCTTCGCCGCCGAGTGCATTCTGAGCAAGCGGCTCCGCAAGGTGCGTGCGCCCCGTCCCCCGCGCCCGCCGCCGTCGCCGCGCCCGCCTCCCGGCTCACCCCAGCTCTTCTTTCCGCAGGGCAAGCTGGAGTACCTGGTCAAGTGGCGCGGCTGGTCCTCCAAGTGAGTCCGCGGGTGCGGCCGGCCTTCCCGCGCGCGCCTCCTCGCCGGGGATGGGGGCGCCTGGGGACCCTCGGCCTTGCGATCGGGGCGGGGGGGGGCGTGCTCGGGCAGGGCGAGAAGTTCGCGGGATCCCCGGCACTCCGCTGGCCGGGGCTGCCCTTTGTTTACGAGCCCGCGGGGAGCGGGGCTTGGCTCCTCCCGCCCCGGAGCCCCCGCGCGCCGCGCTCCTCCACGCCCATTTGTTGCTGGCGCCCCCCGCGGGCCCCCGCACCCGGCCCGGGCCCCCTCCCCTGTGCAGGTTTCCCCGCTGTAACCTGAGCTCCGTATTGATGGATGTACTTTTTTCCCTCTCTCTTCCCGGGAGGGAGAGGACTAGCGTCCCCGGAAGGGGCTCCCTCCGGAGCTGCTCGGCAGCCCCTCTCTTCCTGGACCTCTCCCCTTTCTTTGCACACCCCCAGCCCCAGCGCGCGTCCCGCGCTCACTGGGGTGCCAGCCACATTGTTCTGAGCCTTGGGCTGCGTCCACGCCCCTCGGGCCCCCACCTCCCTACCTCTGGGCGTCCTGGACCTGCCTTGCCTTCCCTTCCCTCCCTGGCTCCGGGCCAGAGTTTGGGGGATTCCCTTTACAACTTTGAGTTTTATTGGGATTTGTTTTCCTCCCAGGCACAGACTGCGCGGGAGTTCCCTTGTGGCCTGTTTTAATTGGGGGCTTGAGGTGGCAGTTTTTCTGCGGGTTTGAAGTTGTGGTGCACGCTTCAACCCACCTCCACCCCATTCTGGGCTTGGGCCTCTGAGGACTGCCACGCTGCTATGGTGCCCTTGCCCTCAGCAGGCCTGGGGAGCCGTCGGGAAGGCCCCCTCTGGTGGGGTCTCAGTCTGCTGTGTAATGGGCCTTGCTCTTTGATTTTCCAGACATAACAGCTGGGAGCCGGAGGAGAACATTCTGGACCCGAGGCTGCTCCTGGCCTTCCAGAAGAAGTGAGAACGTTAGCAGCACTTGCAGGAGGGGAGAGTTGTGGAGAAGGTGGCCCTCCAGGGTCCTTGGGCTAGGGTTGTAGGCTGAAGTCCTATAACAAGCCCGTTGCCAGGCCTGGGTATCAGGTGTCAGTGTCCACTAGGTGGCTGCCTGTAAAGGCAGAGGACCCCCTAATTGCTCGGTGGTGCTGTGGTCACTCTCAAGCCACACTTGTGAAAATGAACCTGCCGGAGTCTTGTGGTCAAGGACTCTGGTTTCTCCTGGACATTTCTGGGGAGCACTTTGCAGGCAGTGGTGACACCAGCCTCCTGCCCCTGAGAGTTTGCCTTTGTGCTAGAGAAGGCTCAGGGAGCTGGAGCCCACATCTCACAGAGTTGTGCCTGTTTTGTGCAGAGCAACACATTTATTTTGATCTAGGCTATAAAACATCACCAAGGTAGCACCCCAGGGGCTGTTACCAGATTCAGACTGGATTTGCTTCTGGAGGTGTTGTTTCTACTTCTAGGTAGGAGACCTGGGGTAAGAGATCAGCTGCTTTGAGGAAGGAAGACGGGTGGTGAAGGGGTGATGAATGTGTCACCCCATACTGGTGTGAGGCCTGAACAGAGCAAGATGCCAGGGGCAGCATGAAGGCCTTCCCCGTGTGGAGATGGCCTTGTCATCAGAGGCAGATGCATTGGCTGCTCAAAAGCATTCCCAGCTGGGGTCAGTGTGGCAGGCTTGTTCTCTGGTAGCCTGGGCTGTCTTCACTTTTTGTCCCAGTAGTGGGATCTTCACAGAGGTGCTGGGACAGTGGGAGAGACACTTCTGGAAAATCAGGTATCAGTGACCTTATTTCCCTCCATTTAACTCATAGCTTGGTCCTGTGAACCTTCAGGGAGGCCGGCTGTGCACATTGCAGCAGATGGTACATGTCTCTGCATTTAAGACAGCATCCTGAGGCAGGGTATCATGGTTTGCACCTAGTCCCATCTGCTTGGGAGGATCACTTGAGCCCAGGGTTTGAGACCAGCCTGTGCAACATGGCATGACACTGTCTCCCTAAACAGACAGGATTCTAGGGCTGGGAGTATAGCTCAGGGCTAGAGCACTTACCTAGCATGCCCAAGGCCCTGGGTTCCATCCTCAGCCCTGGGGAAAAAAAAAAAAGCATTAAATAATAGCATTGTAGCTGACATGTCTTTGACCTAACTTTTGGTTACAGCAGACAAGACCAAAATATCCAAGAGATAGAAAAGTTTAAAAACCATGGGATGGTCTGGATTACAACATCGTGGAGGAAAAAATCAGGGAAGTAGAGGTTCTGCCTCCTCCCACCTCTGTGGCAGTTCTTTGTTTGGGGAAGAGGGTACATGAGAGGGAAAGCCACAAGTTCCCAGGCCTTGGAGCATAGTGGTGGGGACCCAAGAGACACCTCATCCTCGTGTGGGAGGTTGCAAGTCAAAGGAGAAGGCTTCTGTGGCATGTGGGCTGTCCCTAGGAATACTAATCAGGTTCAAGAGCTTACCTTCCCGGTCCCAAAGAGATGATGTTTGCCTACTGTGATTACTGGGAATCTTCACATAGGGGCCCTTCTTGCTGGGTTGTCCTGAAATCCAAGCTTGCTTTGGGGGTTGGAGTCAGGGCCCTTAGCAGCACCTCCTGACCCCTGAGCCCCCTCAGGACTGGTGTCTCATTACTTCCATCCAGAATAGAGTTCAGGAACTGAGAGCGGTTAAGAGAAAATGGGGAAGTTGTGAGCTAGCACCCTGGTGGGCAGAAGCAGACTGGAGTTCTGGGTAGGTGAGGGCTTCCTGGGCTTGGGCAGACCCCAAGGGGTATTCTCTGTTGTTGCCTTGCCCACAGCTTCCTTCTGTTGAAGTAAGGAGGTTGGCTGCTTCTGGTTAGCCAAGCTGGGATTTCCATGAAACAGTCCACCTGCTGAAAGTTGTCTTGAAAGAAAATGTACCTCTTTCCCAACTTTGCTCTCTGGTCTTTGGCATGTCTCTAGTCGAGTGCAAATGAGATGGAATGCCTATAAAGATAATGCCCAGTGGGGCCAGGGATTTAGCTCAGTGGTTCTGCCACCTGCCCTGCAAGCACAAGGACCCGAGTTCGATCCCCGGTACCAAAAAAAAAAGATAATGCCCACTTGCAAAGGATGGGATACAGGCCTGCTGTGGGTATTGGATTGGTGGAATACATTTTTGCTGCAGGAAATGATGAGCTGCTGCAGCCTGAAGCGGCAGGGAAGCCATGGGGTTCCCAGGTGGTGGAGGGGGTTACAGGGGCTTCTCCACACTGACTGTTGATCGTGTCTTCAGAGAACATGAGAAGGAGGTACAGAACCGGAAGAGAGGCAAGAGACCCAGGGGCAGGCCTCGGAAACACACGGTGATGTCGTCCTGCAGCCGGCGCTCCAAGCTCAAGGTGCATTTCTGCCAGCTTTGCATGCTAACCCTGTTTGGCTCCTCACTTCCAGAGCAGCTCTGGGCAAGGGGAAGGTTTCAGGCACTCTTGGGCTAGGAGGTGGGCATTTGTACAGCAGTCTTTCCCTGCCGCCTCTTTAAGCCTCTGCCAGCAGGGGGCACTAGCAAGCCCACAGCCTCTAACCCTCTCCCACCCCAGGTTGGATCCTGCAAGACTGACCCCTCTTCCCAAGGTCTTTCCCTGTTTCCATGGCTGTCCATGCTGCACTCCTTCCTACTGGGTAGCTGATCAAACTTAGCCAACACCCATGACTCTTGCCTCTAAAGGCTTATCATTGGGAACCAGTGAATAAGTAGCCGGGCACGGTGGCCAATGGCCATAATCCCAGCAGCACTCTGGGTGGCTGAGACAGGAGGATTGAATGTTCAAGCCCAGTCTGGGCAACTTACAGACTTACCGAGATCCAGTCTCAAAATAAAAACTAGAAGGGCTCAGGATGTAGCTCAGTGTGAAGGCCCTGGGTTTTGGTCCCCAGTACTGGGTGAGTCAGAAGCATACATGCAGTGTGGACTCATCTGCTGCATAGATGCGGACCTGTGGAACAAACGGTCAAGCCCAGGCTTGGGCCCCTCTGGGCCCCTCTGAGTGTACCCTAAATCAGATGAGTGCAGGCCTGGGCACAGGGAGGACTGAGAGTGCTGATGCTGTGCTGGTACCTGTTGTCCTTCCCCGCTGTGGTGGTGGGCAGCGAGGTGGGCATTTGCCTCACACCGCAGATGTGCACACCTCCAGGTCCCCGGCTTCACCTCGGCCCCCAGCACATCACAGCCAGCTGGGGAGGGGCTTCCGGCCTCGCTCTTGGGCGTGTCCTGGATTCCATCCTCGAGACCACATTCCCTCCTTGGAATCGTGTTGGCTGTCTGCCCTGACTTCACTTGTCTTCAAAGCTGTCCACTCCGTCTTGTCTTTGAAATCTTCCTCTCCAGTACAGGCTACAGAAATCCCGTGCTATGAGAAGGGTTTCTGTGGAGGACGAGACCCTCCAGGTTTGATGGAACAGTCTTGCTGTAGGCCTGGGTGTTCGTTCCATCTCCCAAAATCAGCCTTGTAGGCGACCCAAGAAGCGGGGGGACATGCTTATTTAGGGTTTGGGGTGACACCCAGGAGAGAAGCGCTGTGTGCTAGAATGCTCGGAGGGGTCACGCTCAGGAGCAGGAGGCGGAAACCATCCCATAAGGAGGCCCTGTAGTCTACTTCACTCAGCTCTTGGCCCAGCAGGACTTGTCACCTGTGCCACTCTGGACATGATGCCCTTCCCAGATTGTCTTAAATACAGAGTTAGGCATGCATCTCACTAAGATGACTTTTTGCAAACATCCTATTTCTGTTTTTTTCTACTCTTAATTTTGCCTTTCACAGAACCTGACAAAGAGCTGGTTAAATTCTTGGCCAGGTACAGTGGTGTGTGCCTGTAATCCCAGCACTTGGGCGGCTGAGGCAGGAGGATCACTGGGTTGGAGGCCAGCCTAGGCTCCATAGTGAGTTCAAGGCCAGCCTGAATTGCATAGTGAGACCCTGTCTCAAAAAATAAAGAAAGAAAATGTTAAGTCCTTTTGGGAACAGTGTAGTGGGAAATTGCTCTTCTCTGGCTGCCTCCCTGGCCTGGAAGTCCCAGCGCCTGCTGGCTGCAAGGTACCTCGTGCTCCCTGGGGAAAGCCTGGCACCAGGCAGCAGAGGTATGACCCATTCGCCCTTGTCTTTCCAGGAATCTGATGCTCCCTCCAAATCTAAATCTAGCAGTTCCTCTTCTTCCTCCACGTCGTCGTCCTCCTCCTCAGATGAAGAGGATGACAGTGACTTGGATGCCAAGAGGGGCCCCCGAGGCCGAGAGACCCACCCCGTGCCTCAGAAGAAGGCCCAGATCCTGGTGGCTAAGCCTGAGCTGAAGGACCCCATCCGCAAGAAGCGGGGGCGCAAGCCCCTGCCCCCAGAGCAGAAGGCAGCCCGCAGGCCCGTGAGTCTGGCCAAGGTGCTGAAGACTGCCCGCAAGGACCTGGCGGTCCCGACCAGCAAGCTACCCCCTCCGCTCAGTGCGCCTGTGGCAGGCCTGGCAGCCCTGAAGGCCCATGCCAAGGAGACCTGCAGCGGCCCCAGCGCAATGGCCACCCCGGAGAACCTGGCCAGCCTGATGAAGGGCATGGCAGGCAGCCCCAACCGCGGTGGCATCAGCTGGCAAAGCTCCATCGTGCACTACATGAACCGCATGAGCCAGGGCCAGGCCCAGGCCGCCAGCAGACTGGCACTCAAGGCCCAAACCACTGCCAAGTGTGGTCTCGGGCTAGACCTGAAGGTGAGGACGCAGAAAGGGGAGCTGGGGGTGAGCCCCCCTGCAAGCAAAGTCCCAAAGGCCCCCGGCACTGGGGCTGTGGAGCAGAAAGGGGGCAGCGCAGGAGGGGCCCCCCATGCCCACAGTGGTGGCAAGGTCCCCATTGGGTGCCTGGGCTCCCAACCAGCGCCCACCCAGGAGCTGAGCCTGCAAGTCTTGGACTTACAGAGTGTCAAGAATGGTGTGCCCGGGGTGGGCCTGCTTGCCCGCCATGCCGCGACCCCAGCCACAGGGAAGGGCCCTGGGGGTGGCCCCACTGGAACCAGTGGGGCCAGCATGCCCATAGATGCAGGCAAAGGTGAGAAGCTGGCCTCCAGGGTGGCAGCTCTGCCCACCCCTCCTGGCAGGAGGGAGCATGCCAAGGGCAGTGATGCACCCAGCGGGCGGGAGGGCCATGCGGCCCCAGGGGAAGCCTGCAAGGCAGCCGCCGTCTCAGAGATGAGCACAGGTGAGGAGAACAGCACTTCAGACTCGGACCCTGACTCCTCGTCGCTGCCTGGGGCTGGGCAGAGCCTGTCCGTGTCTGTGCAGACCAGCCAGGACTGGAAACCCACCCGCAGCCTCATCGAGCACGTTTTCGTCACTGACGTCACGGCCAACCTCATCACGGTCACCGTGAAAGAGTCCCCTACCAGCGTGGGCTTCTTCAGCCTGAGACATTACTGAGTCCTCTGCCACCCAGGTCTGCCTGCCTTCCTGCCTGGTTTGCTCTGTTAGGTGACCAACAGCCCAGCCCTCTTGAGGGGCCGGGGATGAGCTGGGAGGGTCTCCTAGGTAGGCAGGCTCGGTAAGGCCTTCTCCCCACTCCGCCTTGTCCTGGGCCTTGGTAAAGAGCTGTCCCCTTGCCTTGCTGGGGCCTGGCTTCCCCACTACCCTACCTCTCCAGGCCCTGCTTCACCCCTTGTCTCCTCAGAACACCTGGGTGGCCTCATGGCTCAAGCCTCTGCTGAACCTGAGCCTTCCACCCTGGCCTGGGTGACCAGTGGTGGGGTCAGAGGGGCTTCTCATACAGCTGTTTCCCCCAAGGAGTGGGGAGAAAAAGTAGGGGTAGCTCTAGTACCCCCTCTTCCTGGCACCATTTTCTAGAAGGTAGAGTGGGTGGGTAGACCCTCCTTCAGAGTGGTGGCTGGGCCTTTGAGGGTGCGGTAGGGATAGCCCCACCCCCCCAAGCCTGGCTCCTGGGCCTTAATGTAAAAGGACAGTTCCGGGGATCGAGGCCCCTACCCAGCCCTGGTTCAGAGTGGCAGCTCTGATGCACCTAAGGGGCCTCAGGGTTCAGGAGCAGGAGGATCTGGTGTCACTGTTGCCTCCCTCCTGCCACCCGCACCCCTGTGGGAAGTGACCCTGAGTTCCCTAGGGTGTATCCTAGTTCTGGGGCTAAAGCCCGGGACTTGGGGTGAAATCCGGGTGGACAGTGGAGGGGCTTGGGTATGAGGTAGGCCTGTGGCATGTGTGCCTCTCTCCCCAAGCTGGAATTTCGTCTTCGGCTGACAAGGGACCCGCCTAGCTCTTGGCCCCAAAGCTGCCCCCTCCAGCTGCCAGAGGACCAGAGAGTGGGCATTTGCTGCAGGCCCATGATGACACCCCCCTGGTGGGTAGGCCATTGGTTGGGGGCTGCTTTCCCTGACAATCCCTCCCCACCTTTGGGAGTGCTGTGTCTGCTCCTTACCAGCTGAGAAGAAATGTCTCCATACCATTTGAGTTCAGGCAGGCTGCCTGGCCAAGGGCTGAGATCTTTCAGCCCTGGCTTTGGGACCCTGTTCACTCCCCTCCTGGGGAGACACTCAAGATTCAACCACCTTGGGCCAGGGATTTAGCTCAGTGGTTCCAGCGCCTGCCTCGCAAGCACAAGGTCCCGAGTTCAATCCCGGGTACCAAAAAAACCCACCAAGATTCACCACCTTCTCCCTGCCCTGCCCCGAGGTGGCCGCATCTGTCCTGCGAGCTTGGGGCAGACGTGACCAGGAGGTGGCAGTGGCAGCCAGTCCAGTCAATAAGTGCTATGCCAAAAAGAAGTTGGGGGCAGGGGGCATCTGGAACTGCTTCCATTGGTCACCCCACAGCTGTGGGATTCTTAACTCTGGCTGCCTTTTGGGGAAACACTGCCCTTTCTAAAACCAGCCCCAACTGAGGGGCTCTGGCTTCTGGGGGCCCACCAGGCTGCAGGGCTCCCCATTAACTCAGCCCCATGCCAAACAGGAAGAGAAGGCCTTTGTGTAGCCAAATTGACCTCAACAGTGTGCCTTTGGGGACAGCCCATGTCCGGGACTGTGCTGTGGGCCCAGATGCAGCCTCCAGGTCTGGCTCACGGGCCACATCACCTGCAGCAGGAGGCTAGTGCTCTGCTACACTTGGACCCCTGGCTGCCACCCTCCCTAAGGGGCCAGCAACCTGGAAGTTCTGCCGCTTCTCTCCTGCCAGGCACTGCTGCCTTAGAAGCTCTTCTAAACCCTTGCCAGAGACCCAAGGGCCCCATGAGCTATTAGTGAAGTGGAGTGTCTGGCTGACCAGCTTTGTCCCCAGCTGCCAGGTCTCTCCAAACCCCAAATTGGTGCCTTGCCTTTTACCAGCTACTTCAATCCCAAAGTTTAAATCAGTGAACACCTTACTCCCAGCCACTTTGCCTTCTTGCTGTTTTGCGTGTTCCTGGTGCTGTGACCCCGGCAGTTGAGGTTGAGAATGTGTGCTGGTGCAGCAGGCTTTCGGAAGATGCTGAGTTAGCCATCTTCTGTTTACCAATAAATAAAAGTAGTCCTGTTTGTATTTTTATTTGCTGCTATTCGTGTGTGTGTGTGTAGCTAGGCATCAGCCACACTTCTGACTCAAGATTCATTGTTCTTTTCTTCTTGAGGTTCCTGGGTGAACTATACCACACTGTTTGTGTCCTGAGTGGATGTTTTAACCTACATCTTTTTAGTTGCTTCTGTATTGCGTAGGAAGAAGTGGCCAGCCTGATCTCTTCCTTAGAGCATTTGGCTTATTTTTGTATGTATTTTTGGTACCAAAAAGAGTGTTCCATGCTTTGGTGACACTCCAAATTCTGACCTGACTAGAGAGCACTCCGGGCCTGAGGTTTCATCCAGAAAACTCGGGGGAGAACCACAGCTTTGAACCAATGCTGGTCACTGGCTTGATTTGTGGGGGGTTTTTTGTTTGTTTTTTTTGAATTAAAAAGCCAAATCATTTGTTCGCATATGCCACTTCCAACTGCTTTGCACTGTGCCTGTTTGCTTTCTTAAGGGGCAGAGCAAGCTTGGGTGTTTTACTACCCTGGGAAAACCTCAGATCTTTGGTGAAACAGGACAGCCAAGCCCCCGTTTTGATGGAGCACAGCCGGGTCAAGGAAATGCCTCCCCAGGAAGCCCTTGCTAGTTTGAGGGAAGGGGTTGGAGTAGGAGAAAGGTGGTACCTGGATGGCCAGATTTTTACCCAAGTGCATCTCATAATTCTGAGGTTTTCTAGTATTTTCAGAAAACTAATGCTAGCATAGGTTGCGGGAGTTTTTATAGACTATGTTAATTTATTTTGAAGGAGGAAGACTTGTCCGTTTTGTTAACTCTTAGTATACCAATAAATATTTTTGTAAACCTTCCAGCCTGGTGTATGTTGTCAGTGATGCCTGGGAACAAAGACTTCATTTTGACTGAGTTGGGCCAAAATATGTGAGACATGCACTGAATAGCTGAGGCAGGGAAAATCAGGCAGGCATTGTCATGGGCTACAGGGAAAGATGATTTTGAAGCAAGGGGTGAAGTTTGATTTTGAGTCCAACAGCAGTCCACAAGGAAGTATGAGTTGGCATCCCCTTTGGCAAGGTCTGGAGACAGTTTTGGTTGTACAGGTGTGTGGGGGGGTGTCACTGACATTTAGTAGGTAGAGGTTGGGGCTGCTGCAGTGTAGTCATTCACTGTAAGACTATTCCCAGTAGCACGTTAAAAGATAAGGGCTCTTGGGCCAGGGATTTAGCTCAGTAGCCCCGTGCCTGTCTCCCAAGCACAAGGTCCAGAGTTTGATCCCCGGTACCAAAAAAAAAAAAGTATTTAAAGATACCATGTCAAAGCTACTGGTCTTCCTGGCGCATTTGTAACCCTAAAAGGACGGATACCGCTATGGAGTACCAGGGAGTCCCTGTACAACACAAGAACCCTTGAGCCTGTGGCCATTGTATCCCCTCCTCCTGGCTCATAATAAAATGATTTGCGTATTATATAACCTTCCCCACTCCCTTAAGGTTTGTGTTACCCTCTGCATGAATTTATTCATAAAATCAGCCTCCAGGGAGAACCGGCTTTCTCTGAAGGGGGAATCTGGGCCTGGACGCTGGCCACCCCTGGCTGGGAGGCTGGCTGGGAGGCTGGCTGGGGCGCGGGCCTAAATTTTTCCGTCCAGGAGGGGGTCCCTCTGCAGATAGGAACGGAGCCAGCTCTAGGCTCCAGAAAGGCTTGTTCTTTTGTTGCTCTCTGAGGCTCTGTGTTGTTTGGGGAGCAAGGGCGACCCCCGCGGTCCTGTCCTCTGGCTTTTGCTCTCGAGTAGAAAAAGGTTGTGGACAGCCAGAAAGGAGCAAACTGACCACGATGAGGAGCCAGGCTTTCAGGAAAACCCATTTCTACAGGGACTCGCCAGACGGAGCAGGGCCCTGGCCCACCCTGGCCTTTGTTAGTTTCTGCGCTGCTGATCTGATCGCCTAATCCACCGCCTTCCCAGAAGAATGGACAGGGCTGCAAGGGGCCCGACCGGCCAGAGGCCCTGCTCCGCGCCCGGCCCCGCGCCACCCCAACCAACCCCAGGGCCCCTGGAGGACAGGGGTCGGGCGGCTGGACGCCACCTTTCTTCCCTCTACCCCCGCGGCTGCAGAGGGGGACCGAGCGCCCAGCAGCGCCTTTGGGCGGACGGGGCTGAGGTTTGCTGCGCTGGGGTCGGCCCTGGCCTGGAGGCGGGGGTGGGCGATGCGGATGGGGGCGGGGAGGCTGAGTCCGCCGCCTCTAGAGGGCGCGCGCGTTACACGAAGTTTGGGCCACAGCGCTTCGGACGTGCTGGGGACACCCTGCTCGCAGTTTCAGGCTGTCCCGAGCGCGCCTGCACGGCCTGCGCCCTGGCCGTCGAGCGGCTCCCCTCGCCTGGGTATCCGAAGTCTCAGCAGGAAAGCTTGGGCTGCAGCCCACAGCCTCTCTCGCCACGGCCAGACTCCGGCTGGCGGCCGCCTTCTTCCCCGGACCCCAGCTGGGTTTGACGCGCCTCTGGCCCGAAGGACTCTTGGTGCGAATAGAGATACGGACGGGGCAGACCTCGGCCTCCCGCGCACGACACAGGACCTGGCCCAGGACCTGTGCACCGTGAGCATCAACGGAACAGAAAACGGGCCCATCTCGACACTCTGTGGAGAGCCATAAATACACCGTTCGACCGTTCGGGCTGGTCCAGGCTCGGTTCTGGCGGCGGCTACACTACGTGCCCCTGTCCTCGGGATGCAGGAGAACCGGCCAGGGCGACGAGGACACGCGGGCTCTGCTCTCCCAGAGTCTGCTCTGGAGACAGAAACCCGCGCGCAGGGAGCTCCTAGCCAAAGCCACGACGCGTGGTGGCCAGTGAGCTGGGAAAGGGGCGGAGTGGGCGCCCCCTCTCCCTAAGCAGGACCCCACACCTAGGAGAGGGCACGGGAAGCAGCCGGGCCCGATGGCGGGGTCACTGTGCCGAGAGACGGCGACCCGGCCACCTGACAGCCCTCCTCGGCCCCTGACGCCCACCGCCCTGCAGAGGCCGCAGCCCCAGGTCGGGACAGGTAGGGCAGCCTCAGGCGCAGGCTGCTCACGTCGGAAGGGCATCGGAGCCCGCCTCGCGCCTCCGCACTTCTGGAGTGGGCGGCCCTGCAACGCGGGACCTCCGTCGCCCGCCCCTGAGCTGTGGGAGAGAAGTAAGGCAGCGGGGCCAGGACTCTACAGCCTGGGGCAGGGGAAGGACCTGCCTACGCCCCTTCCCGGGGTGTCTGCGGTCGTGCCGATCGTGGCTTCTCGGCGGGGCGACGGCTCCAGGCACCTAGGAGAGTGGAACTGGATGCTATACGACCACCTTTTGGGGGTCTGAAGGGCGGGCGTCAGGACCCCGGCCCACTGCTGCCCATTCTGCTGCCCGCAGGGGGCGGAGAGCACGGTCTGCCCGGTCTGCCCGCATCCTCTCGGCGCTCCCCTGGACGGTTCCTCGCCCACATTGGGGTATCTGCCCTCCCAGAAGACAGGGGCAGAGAGGCCTGGGGACTTGGGAGGGCGCACGGGGCTGCGGCACCGAGGCTCCGGGTTCACTAATCACATCAGCGCGCTCCACGCCGGCTCTGAGCAGGCAGTTGCCTAGCAATACCCGCGAATTCAATTCCTCAATCAATAGGCGCGAGTCTCTCCATTTCGGGGAGCGCGGGCGAGTCTGGCTGGGTCTGGGGCACGGGTACTTCGACACCACTGAGGAGCGGGCCAGGAAAAGCCAAGGAGCAAGGCAGAAAGCTCCTGGCCTCAGAGACCAGCGATGTCCGCCCGGGATGGGTCGTGCGGGGTGTGTGTGGGGAGCCCCGCAGAGGAAAGGGGAATCCCGAGGTCTCCTGCATCCTCCCCGTGTCCCTAAGTCTGCCAGGTCCCAAAGAAGTCCAAGCGGTAGAGGAGGAAAGCCTTGGCCTTCCCGGGAAGACTGAGAGCCACACCCTGCTCCCTCCCAGCCCACCCCCTCCTTGCTGAGGCCCCCAGTTGGGGAAGGGCTTTTGCGGGGGGGGGGGGATCAGTCTCACCTGGGGCCAAAGGGATCGAGGGTGGGGCGTGGAGTAATGAGAGAGGAGGCACCGGTCCTCCCCTCAGTCCGGAGCAGCCCTCTTCCCCATACTCAAGGGAAAATATTAATAAAGACTATAACCAAGACGTGTGTCTATTTACAAAGTATATATTTAAACACGTGAGAAGCGGTACTGGATACAGACATTCACAACCGTAGAAGATAGGTACCGACGCTTCACTCTTGAGCTGAGGCGGAGATCGATTTGAGATTTGTACAAATCTGAGAATTAAATACACCCAACAGGCGCTCACCCCGCGAGGCTGCAGATTCCCAGCCACATGGCCCCGGCCCTGCCCACCCACCCCGCGGTCAGCGTCTCAAGAGCTGGCGAGACACACACGACGGTCACGGACAGACAGCAGGACGCGGGGCGGTGGGGCAGAACCACACCGGTCGGGCTAAGGCCGAAGGGAAGAGGCGAAGTCGGCCCAGGCCGCCAGGAGGTGGAAGCAAGGAAGGGCTGAAGAGAGGGGCAGCCAGGTAAAGCGCGGTCCCCGAGCCACCGTCCACTCGGTAACAGGACCTGCCTCTTCGAGCCGGTTCATCTGAAAATAGCGTCGACGTTTAAATAGACACACTCGGTCAACCGCGCTTCTTTATACAAAGTCTAAAATACCAGTTTTACAAATGTGAGCAGATAAAAATCCCCATTCCAGGGGCTTCTCCCTCGGTGCAATTTGATATTCAAAAAGAAACAAATATCATGTAGCACACCGGTTTCCTTTTTTCCCTCTCTCTCTTTAAAGGCAAGAAAGTCTGGAGGGGAGAGAGGCTGAGAAACTGGGGGTGGGGAGCCGGGCGTGCGGAAGACCACTAGGCTGGGGTCCCTTCCGGCCCCCCCATCGCGAATCTCCCCCGGCGCCGCCCCGGACCCGGCCTCGCTCCCCGATCTGTGCTTCGCCCAGCGCGCAGAGCCCCGCGCCCCTTCCTCGACAAGCCCTGAAGTTAGCTCCTCGCTGGCCCTTTAAGGGTGGGGAGGGCGGAGAGGCTGCAGACTCCGAGCTGGAAGGGACCGAGGTGGGGTGGGGGAACCGATTTGTGCTTCTGAGTCGGAGAAGGGCGCGCGACGCGGTGCGGAGTCCGCCGGGCGGGGGCGTGGCGGGACCGGCCGCTGCGCCCGGCCTCCCCACCCGCGGCCGCCCGCTCGCCCACCTCGCGTTCCTCCTCCCCCTCGGCGGGGTTTGAATGTGGAGTTCACAGAGAGAACACTCCTCGAATCGAAAAGGCCTATAAATTACAGCTTTTGCTTTTAAGGAGGGGGGAGGAAAAAGCAGAAGTTCGGATGCGCATTCTTGGATGAAAACCCCGCCTCGCCCCTCCTTCCCCTGCGGCGCTGCAGCCCCTGGGCCGTGAGTCCAGCGCGGGCGGGCGGCGACCCCGGCCGGGGGCCTCCCCGACGCCCAGCGCAGGGCGCCGAGGGCCGGGTGCGCAGCTCTCTCCCGGCGCGCCCGCCGCCCCGTCCCGCAGGACGGCCTGGCAGGCGTGCGTCCCTCGGAGTGCGGGCCCGCCCTCCCTGAGGGAGGGAAGCTGTCCAAGTCTTCCTGGGCGGTGGGGCCTCCGGCTCCTCTCCTGGCGAAGCTAGAGGACGCGCAAAGGAAAAGTCCACCCGAACACTTTTCTTGTAAAACAACTGTCTGGAGCTCTGGGCACAGACACGCAATCCTCCCAATTTATCCTGGCATTTCGGGAATGTAAACAGATTCGCTGGATTTCTTTCCTCTCTGCAGAGTAAGGAAAGGAATCAGGGGACCGGGGAGATTTCATCCGCAAGACATACACACGATCCGCGTGTACAGCACACACACCTCCCGTAAAGTGCATTTCCTGCTGTGGTCCTGGGGGGAAACGGCTCCCCACTAACCCGCGACTTTTTAACCTTCAACGTCACACAGGAAAAAGTTATTCAAGTTAATACTTTTTTCCTCCAACAGACTTCATAATCTTTAAAAAGAAAAAAGAATAGAAAAACAGAAAAACCAGACTGACCCCACCCACCCTCTTTTTCTGATTGGGGAGCCAACCTTTTGTTAGCCTGGCTGGCCAATAGGAAGAGAGAGAAAACCCGGTGCCAGGAGTCTGGCATTGGGAATGTGGAGAAGGAAGGAGGGGAGGGGTGGGCAGGCTCCGTCCCTCCAGACACCTTCAGAGACCCAGTGCCGGGGTCCCCAGGGAGGACAGGACCCCTCCTGTCCCAGTCAGCCTGTCTGATCCCACTAAAACACACTGCCTCTCTCTCTCTCTCCTTATTTAAATAAAACAACTTCAAGAGTTGAAATATATATATTTAGATATTTTTCTTAAATAACATATTTACATCTAATAGAAAATATAACTCTAGAGATAAATTTCCAACCAAAACTGAGGGGGAAGAAGGAAGAACAAAAAGGGCTGACGGGGTGTGAAGTTAGGGACAGGAGCAGCCAGAGGCACATCCCACCCAGAAATAAAAAGCACTATGCCAAGTTTGCGCTCACTCTCGCCTGTTCTTGTCCTGGGCTCACCCACCCAGCAATTCATCTTTTCTCTTTAAAAAACCCTTGGTCCGTGTTACTTTCCTTAATGGTGACCGTTAAAAAGTTTGAGGTCACATCAGTGACCACCACCTTCTCCAGGTTAGTCAGGGAGGGGCTCCAGGATTCCTCTTCTGGGTCCCCCAGGATCCTGGCCACTGGGATTCTGGCAATGAGGGAGGGCCTTCCTCCTTGGGCCCCCATGTCCCGGTAGAGGCTCCCCACTGAGCCCGGGGTGCTTGAGCCATGCCGGACCCTGGGGCCACCAGGGTCAAGGGCACCCTGGCCTTTGGCCTCCAGGAAGGTGGCCCTGTGCTTTATGACCCTGGCCGGGAAAGTGTCCACAGCCAGCTTGCCCGTGGCCTCGGCGGAGCTGGGACTGGTCACACCACACTGCACCAGGTCTGAGTCCTGCCTTCGGGCCAGCTGGATCACACTGTGGCCAGCTGGGAATTTCCCTGCTCCGGAAGGGATGTCATCCAGTTTCCTGCCCTTGAGGTAATCTCCGAGGCCGTCGCTGGGCTCTCCCAAGGGCCTCTGCGAGGGGTCCAGGAGCTCCTTCCGGGGCTTGGGGCCTCGCTTCTTGGAGCTGTCCCCTGGAGAGCTGGGCTTATCGTCCACACGGCTGGCTCCCCTTTCTCGTTCTCGTTCTCGTTCTCGCTCCCTCTCTCGCTCTCGCTCTCTTTCACGCTCTCGATCCCGATCCCGGTCCCGGTCCCGAGGTGGGTCTGCTCGACAGGTGCTACCGGTGCTACTGCTGCTCCCAGGTGGGGACAGACCCATATTCCGAAGGCCTTCTCGGGCTCGGGAAGTGGAAGCCAGGTCCTGGGGTGAGCGGCCCGGGTAGGGAATCCGGATGCCTCTGGCTGAGTCGCTTCTGAACTCATAGGTTTTGGCCTTTGCCTTGGCTTGGGCCTGCAGAGAGAAGGCTGGGTTAGGGATGAAGCAGTGCCCCAAGCTCTCCCCTCCTCCAGCCTTGACCTCCTGGCTTCACCACCTGAGGCCAAGAAGGTCCAGATGATGGGGAGGTGGGGCTCAGTGGTGGCAGTTTGGGAGAAGTGGAGAGGACCTGCAAAGAAGCAGCCATTTGCAGCTAGCACTTGTTGTATTCCATGATAGGCCACTTGGGATGCCTGGGACTGGGGGCACAAAGACACTGTAGCTGTGGCCGTGGCTGAATGCCTCCCCCAGACACCCCCAGGAGCTATGGACTTGGTGACTTGTCAGGGGACTCCTAGATTACACACAGGCGGTGTGTGTGGGCACCGCCTCGTTCACAAGCCCTGGTGGAGACCTCTGCACAAAGTGACTTCTCAGTGTCACAGCTCACATTGGACATAGTCATCTTACCTTGAGGAGGAAGGTTTTGGGCTTAGGTCCTCGCTTTTTGGGGCCATAGAGCTCCATCTCTCGTTCCCTAAAGAAAGGAGGGAGGGAGAAGGGGGTGTGAGTAAAGGAACCAAGTGAGTCTCCAGTCCAAAGAGGATGGAATCCACCCCACATCTTTCCAAGAGAGGGACAGGGGCTCAGAAAGGTCTGTACCTTTCCTCAAAGGCTGCAAGCAGGCGAGCATCCAAGATGTTTTCCTCTGGCTCCCATGTGCTGTACCTAGAGGGAATTGGGAAGAAGTGGGCGTTAGCGCAGGGACAAGGAGAGGGGAGGGTGGGTGTGTATGTGTGTGTGTGTGTAACTTTTCTCAGTGCCTTGTACTGTATTTCAACGCAAAAGGGGAATAAGGAAATAAAGAAACCTCCCGAATAACAGTCTGGGATTGAGAATTGCATATAACCTACTTACTTCTGCGACCAGCCCTTCCATTTCACGAGATATTCCATGCGTCCCTGCGGATGCAAAGGGAGAAATGTGTGTGTGTGTGTGTGTGCGTGGGGAGGAATGCATGACGAGGACACAAGAAATACATGTGAAAAATGCATGCACCAAATGAATGCTTGAAACCCCACCGCCAAAGACACGCGCCTGCTGCATCACCCCTGCACGAAACGCTGCACAAAGTGCATGCACCGGCATTCATCTCCCACCCCGCCCCCCATCCATGCAATCTGTGCATCGCTGCAAGTCTAAGGAGAGCGCTGGGGCTCAGAGCCGCCGCCGCCACGGCCGCGGCCGCGGCCGCTGCCACTGCTGGGACCTGGGGGAAGGGAAGCTGGCTGCAGCAAGGGGAGGGAACCTGGGCCGGAGGGGAGGGCCCGGCCAAGCCGAGGCCCGAGGCCCGGAGCACCTACTTTCCGTATGCGCCGCTTCAGGAGGGCTTCGGCCGCGAACACCCGCTCCCCCACCGCCGAGAGCTCCATATTGACTCGCCGCTTCCCCCCTTGGCCGCTTCCAGGAGCAGAAAAGCAGCAGCCAGCGCACGACAGACCATAATACTCTCCCGCTGACGTCAGTTCTCCTCCCCTCCCCGCGCGCGCTCCCTCCCCGGCCCCCCGCCCGCGCCGCCGTGCTCGGCTCCCTCCTCCTCAGCCCAGCGCTTCCTCCCGCCCCACGTGTTGCTAACGACGTTGCTAAAGCCGAGCGGCCAAGGCCTGAACTCTGAACGCTGATTGGGTAAACTCCAGGCCACGCCCCTCTCCCTTTCGCCCCCTCGTTGCTACGTGACCAGCGTTCCAATCGCCAGGGGGCGGAGTCCGTGGCGACTCCAGAGAAGAGCGCGCGGAGGAGGGGGCCGACGCCGGAAGTGACGCTACGAGGGGGCGGGTCCTGCCGCTGTCAGTCTGCAGGGCAGGCAGGGGGACAGGCTGCCCTGAGTCCTCTCTCAGGCCCCCTCCCCCGCAGCCAAGTTGTCCCTCCGGAGCTCGACGACCCCACTGCTCTAGCTGGGACCCCCGCGGCGGTGTCAGCCAGGCCCCGCCTCCTCGGCAGACCTCGGCCCCCCCCCTACCCCCACCGCCCAGGACGCGCGCCGGCCCCTCCCCCGCGGTCTGCGCCGCACAATGCACAATGCACAGGTGCTGGGGCGCTGCAGACCGCGCCCGAACCCCGAGATCCCGAGCTGCGCCCCTGGCCGCTCCTCTCTGCCGACCCTCTCCCCACACCCACCGCACACCCGACCCTTGGTCTCCATGGCAACGCCCCCACCCCCCGCTGTCGCCAGCCGCATCACGCTGACAAATCAATGTGCCTGCTCCTCGATCTCCGGTCGCGCAGCGCTGCCCTCGCGCACCCTGCGGGCCCAGCGAGCCCGGCTGGCTGGAGCGCTCGCTCAGCGCGGAAGCCCAGCGCGGACCGGGCAGAGGTCGGCTGTTGCCGCTCGAGCCCTCCTGCGGCTGGGACCCTGAGGGGACGGCGCTCGCCCCATCCTGTCCCGGATCGTCCCCGACACCCGGAACCACCTGTCCCCAGCCTAACCCGCGATGCCGTCCCCCGCCAGGGCCAGGCCTCGAGCGTCGCCAGCTCCGCCCGCCCCCTGTCAGCCCTGGATGTGTTCAGGGCATGGATGATCATCAGGGCAGAGCCTGCAGGCTAGCTAGTTTTGGGGTGCAGGGCGGGCGGTGCGTCGGCTGCCTCTGGACCCGGTGCCTGGCCCGCGCGCACTTCCTGTCCACGACTGTTCCCGTTGTGGGCAGCGGACACCCGACGAGGGAGGACGGTGCGGAAGTTAGGGGGCGTCGCAGGGTCCTCTGCGGGCTTGGCAAGAGGCTGTCACTAGAGAAGTTGGCGGGTCTCAGAAAGGGCCGGGCCGAAGATTTCTGGGCTCCGCGCACACGCGTGTGCGCTCGCTGGCCTCCTGGCTCAGTTCTCGGCCACTGGAGGCGGGGACCGAGGGGGCAGTCTGGGCTCAGAAACCCCTCACCTTTTTCTCTTTCAGCCCAAGCTCTAGGTCTCAACGCCCACTACCTGGAAACCAGGATTTAGTTAAAACACCGACAATCAACTTGACTGGGAGCCGTTTCCCCTGGCCAGGGATGGGACGGGATGGATTGGGAAGAAGGGAGGGGAAAAAGAGAACGATAGGGAGGAGGAAAAGACACGAGCCAAGGACTTTGGCTGGTAGGGCGAGAAGCCCAGAGCGGAAAGCTGGCCTCCCGGCCACAGCGAGGTGCCGGGCGGGCGCAGCGCGGTCCTCGGCCTCAGGGCAGACGGCGCTGAGCCCGCCCTCCCTCAAAGTCCTCTCCCCCTGGAAATGCGGGTTCCAGTTGTTGGCCTTGCTCCCAGATTTTACAAGGTGGGCGCTGAGCTGCAGTCCCACCTCTCCAGCCTGTCCTGACTTAACGAACAGCGAGCCTCGGACTCCCAGAGCGCCCTGGTGACCCGCGCCCGCCGCCTGCGAGAGGCCGCCGCCGGCTGCGTCCTTAATCATAAAAAGTCATTCTCGGTAACAAATAGTTTCATCGGCCGGTGCCGGCGATACAGCTGTTTCTGTTTAAGCTTAAATACTTTCCAACAGTTTGGGCAGTAAAAATAAAGTCGGCTTCAGCCGCCTGTAAGTGTCTGGTTTCCCCGCCCAGAGCCAGCCCACCCGAAGCCCTGGGCCCGCGTGCTCTGCGCGCCCCGCCTGCCCGACTTGGAATCTGCTGCCCGCTGTGGGCGACCACTGCCGCCGCCCACTCCGAGGCTCGCGCTGGCCACCTCCTTCACCAGACTGTAGGGCCACCTGGAACGGCACAGGGGAGCTCTTCCGACCGGCGGGTGTCTAACCCCACCTGGCCTGCCCGCCTCCCCCACCCCTCGGAAACTCGCCTGCACCCCGGAAAAGCGCTGGTTCCCCTTCCGCGAGGATTTCTCAAGCCCAGTCCGGAGCTGGGCTGCATTTACCAACTGAGCCTAGCACGCAGTGTGCAGAGGTCGGTCCATGGTTTCAGTTTCACGATGAAAAAAACTAGCTTTCCTCCTCCCTCCCTGCCCTTCTCCGCTTCTCTTCTCTAATCCTCTCTTTCTGCCCCATTTTTCTTTCTTTGCCTAAGTACTGCTGCAGCTCCAAGGGAGGAAAGGAAGCCCCCCCCCCCCGGGCGTTACCAGGCACTACCTTCTCTGCAGGGGTATTTGGTGGTTGTTTCTGCGCCCTCGCCCCATTTTTCCACCGGTCTTTATGCCCGATGCGATTCTCTCCGAATTGCTTGCCCTGAACAGAATTAGCGCTTGGGAGGTGTCTGGATCTACAAAAGTCGGGGATTCCTGCAGAGTGCTGGGCAAAATTGCCACTCGATTAAGAAGGAGAGAGACAGGAGAGGTACAGAATAGCCGGAGGTCTCTTGGAGGCTGGCTTCCGTCAGTTGTAGAAGCCCTCAGTCCTGTGGAAGAAAAAGGAGACCCCTCCGGGCGGGTGCAGTGGGTCACCGTTGCTCCACACACTCCGTCCCCTGCTGTCCACGGGACAGCAGGGTTGCAGAAGATATGAAAAAAAAAGGTCACTGGGTAGCTTCATTCCTCCACAGTTAAGAGACAAGGGAGACGTGGCCTTCTGAGAAATGGGTTTGGTCTCCTATTTTACCCGAGCTGAGGTCTGGCTCCGAGGGCGCAGGAGAATGGCTGTGTGTGCCGGGAGAGGGCGCTAGCATCTCGAGGTGGTGCTGTCATTCTGGCCTACTCAGGACAGGTCACTCTGGGCCCCTCAGCTGGTGGAGTTGTCCCGGGAAACAACAGGAGGATCCCCGCTCCCAGCTCTCTCATTGGACTTCCCCTTCTCCCCCTTCTCTGACTGAGTCAGTTCTCACCACTTCTTTCCTCCACACCATGGCTTTCCTCCTTCTAAGTTAGATAATTGTCTTTTGCACACCATGTGCACATCCCAGGAGTAAATAAAATTTCAAAGGACTAGACTCCAGGCTACCAATCCCACTTCTCCCCTGCTGCCAGGCTGCCAGGTTCACATGCGCCGCCTCTGCAGTAAATAAGGTAACTCCTTCCTAAGACTTTAGCCCCATATGGCTACAATTTGAGTGTCTTTGGAGACAGTGCGTGTGTTGGGGCAGGGGGCAGGAAGGAGTGAAAGTGGAAATCAAATGCTCTTAGATTGCATTTTTATAAAGGAAATTGTTGGTGATTCTCTTAACAGCCTCCCCTTCCCGAGAAGAGCTGCCCATTTTCTTTGTTTATGAAATGCCGACTCCCGCCCGCCTGGGAACACCTGCTTCCCAAATCCCTGGTCTCTGCCCTTTTCCTCACTGGTTCTGGTGACCCAGCTGCCAGGCAGCCACTGCCCCACCCAACACAGGGCCTCCGACCAGCTCCTGGAAACCCACCCAGGCACTGGTGCCCGAGGTGGGACGTACTTGGACACCCAATTGCCAGGTAGGCCCAACCTCCTAGGAGCGCAGCAACCGCCCAGCATCTGGGCCCCTCTTAGGCCTCCCTGTGCCTGCAGCCCACCAACCTGACGGTCTCCTGGAGCAAGGCCCCAGGCTGGCACAGTCCTGGGGAAGAGCAGGCGGGGCCAGGCCAGGCCCTCACAGCCAGGTCTTGGCCAGACCAGCAAGCCCCGGCTCGTCCTTTCGCTGCAGGCTGAGGCCCGGCCTCAGCTCGTTCTTTGGGAGCATTTCAACTGCATGGCTTGGCGGGCGTCAGACCTGCCCAGTCTTGGCCGCGAATTCGGGCAGCTTTGGAACCCAACCAATTGCTTCTGGCGGCCAACAGGCGCTGTGAAGTGAGGGAAGGCAGCTCCGAGGTGTGGCCCTGTGGTTCGTGGCCTCACTTGCGACGGCGTGGCCTGTGGCTAACATCCAGCCACCCAGAGCAGCCAAGCGGCATCCAGCTGGCCTCCCCGATGCCTGAGCCTGGGCTGGGTACCTCTTTTCACCCATTACCAAAGTCTGGTGTGGGATGTAGCAGGAGTGACCCGCATCCTGGACAGAGGTCACAAGGGCCAGTCTGCACAGGCTGCCTGGGTTCCTGGCTGAGGCTCCCGCCTCTAGTTGTTCCTGCAGCAAGAAAGACCCTGCTTTCCTGGCCCACTTTCTCCTCCCTAGTGGACAGTCAGGTCCTTCTTGCTGGAGAAGGGTGGCACAGGGGGACAGAATGAGAAGGGGCTGACCCTTTAGGCAGTGTTCCATGGGCCTACACACACTAGAACCCACATAACCTTTTAACTTCTGCCCCTTTAAGCCACAGGAACTCGACCAAGCCCCCTCACTACCCTTCTGAGGAGGAAAACACCCTGCCTCAGTTAAGCAACATCTACTGAGGGGCTAGCCCCTGCCCTATCCCACTTAAGTAACAACTAAGACTCATGCTGTCCTTATGAGGCCTTTCTCATCTATAAAATAGGGGAGCCTTGGGGGGAAAGGGGATTATACAACAAGGGTTCTGTCTGAGAAACTCTAAGATTAGGGCTCTAAGAGCAGGGGCTCTGGCTGTCCTGAAACGTCAGTTCCTCCAGGGTTTGAGGAAAGAATTCAAGTAGGAAAGGGCTGGTCAATCCCCTGGGATGGCCACAGCAGGGCTTCTAAGCAGAGCCTCTAAGCAGAGCCCTCCCACAAAAAGATGGGGCTGGAA